CTTTGTGTTTGAAATTCAGAGATCTCTGAGAAAGCAATCAGGTGACCCCAGAGATGAAGGGGACCCCAGAGTGAAGGAGCTAATGTTGGGTGAGGAATCGAGAAGCCTTAACACGGGCTCGTGGTGATGCCGTGAGTCTGGAACGACAGGGCAGGTGGGGCAGGACAGGTCGATGTGCTCTCATGGTAATGGAGGGAACATCAGCCAACAGAATAAGAACAACAGAACACAGAAGGGATACAAGAGGGCTGTGAAGAAACAGAATTCAGGAACTGCTGATGGAAACAGGGGCTTGGCATAGAAAAATAATAAGGGACTTCGTGCCTACAATAGCCAGGGGGAAGGTTGATGCTTTCCTCACAGAGATTTTGGCAAAGAATTTCAACTTGAAACCAAAATAAGGATTTCCTGGACACCAGACAAGGAAAGACTCTGCTTCCGTGGGGCCCGGGACTAAAACCTGTGGTTTTAGTTAAAAAAGAACATCACCCCTAAAGATTAAGACCTCATGGGACTGGTCAGTGCTGTTCTTCTTGGCGGGTCTGACTGTGGTGATGTTCTGCCTTTCGTTTCAGCTCTGCCCTAAAACTCCCTCACACCACACTCCAGCGCTTAAGAAATTCTGGATATGTTTTTAAGATAATAGGGTAGGGGGAGGGAGTTGAGGGAAGAGGAAGGGTTGAAAAAAGGGTAGGGGGGGCGGAGTGCGGTGGCTCATGCCTGTAATCCTAGCACTCTGGGAGGCTGACGTGAGCAGATTGCTTGAGGTCAGGAGTTCGAGACCAGCCTGAGCAAGAGTGAGACCCCATCTCTACTATAAATAGAAAGAAATTAATTGGCTAACATATATAGAGAGAAAAAATTAGCCGGGCATGGTGGCGCATGCCTGTAGTCCCAGCTACTTGGGAGGCTGAGGCAGGAGGATTGCTTGAGCCCAGGAGTTTGAGGTTGCTGTGAGCTAGGCTGACGCCACGGCACTCTAGCCGGGGCAACAGAGTGAGAATCTGTCTCAAAAAAAAGAGAAAAAAACAAAATATAAGTTTTGGGGGATATATTTAGACATAGCACTATTGTATAGACATACCACAATTATTTTTTTTAATTCTTTTGGGGTTTTTTCTTCTTTTTTTATTTTTATTTCGACATATTATGGGGGTACATATGTTAAGTTTATGTATATTGCCCATGCCCCCCGCCCCCCTCAAGTAAGAGCTTCAAGCATGACCATCCCCCAGACGGTGCACACCTCACTCATTATGTATGTATATACCCATCCCCTCCTCCCCCTCCCACCTGCCCAACACCCGATAAATGTTATTCCTATATGTCCACTTAGGTGTTGATCAGTTAATAGCAATTTGCTGGTGAGACATACCACAATTATCTATTCTGCTGACATTTGGATAGCTTCCAACTTGGGGGCGTAAACATACACATTGAAAGACGAGTAATGAGAACCCTGGAGCCTGTTCTTCCACACAGCTCCTAGTTGCAGACAGACTTCTAGCACCCACACTGAAGACTTTACTCTGAGAAATCACTATCAGGAAGTAGGTTATCATCTTGTATCTTGCCTGGGGTAGTCTGCACTTATGCTTGACACTCAAGTATAATAACAGTATGCCCTTTCACTCTCAACAGTGTTCCATTTTGGGACCATAAATTATATGGTTCCCCTTACCAAGGGGAAAGTTTAAAGATAATATAATAATGTTAAAATTTCCCCCACAATTGACCCAGCCAAGGCATCCTACAGTGAGATTCAGCCACAAGCCCTGCCTATGTGTTCACAGCATTTAGTCCCCACTCAATGAGCAGACAACCAAGAATCAAAAGACATCTAAGGAAATCCTCTAAAATGAAACTGAAATAAGTGAGCAGAAAAAAAACAGCTTGGAGGAACTAGGGACTGTGCAGGTAGAAGTAAACTTCAAAATGAATGAAAATTACCATTACATCTTCAGAGATACTAGGCTATATGGCATCCATAAAACAAGACCAGGATGCTATTACAAAAATGAACGTTCAGCAAACATAAAACAGCTTTTAGAAATAAAAAGCATGATGGTGAAAATTAGTAAGAGAGAGAGCAATTGGAAGATGAAGTTGAGAAAATTCCCAAAGAGATTAATTATAGGAGAAAAGGGATAAAAAAATTTGAAGACCATTCCAGTAGATCCAATATCCAAATAATATAACTTCCAGAAAGAGGATAATGACAATGAGGTGAGAAAACCATCAAACAAATCAAAAAAATCTTCCAGAACTAAAAAACATGGCTTTCCAGATTGAGAGGAACTCTGAGTCCCAGCATAAAGGATAAAAATGAAACTAGATCATGCAATTTCAGAACAGTGGGGATGATGGGAAGATTCCACAAGCTTCCAAAGAGTGAAAATTAACTCTTTATAAAGGCTCAAGGGTAACAATTGTATAAAATTTCTTAATAGCATCACTAGAAGCTAGAAAACAATGGAGCAATGCCTTCAAACTTCTAAGAGACATTTATTTCTAATTTATAGTTCTATACAATGTGTATTAGTCAGAGTTCTTCCGAGAAACAAAATAGGAGAGATATAGGCAGAGGTGTAAATACATTATACAGATATAGGTATCTGTATTAAGGGACTTAATATAGATTAAGGGACTTATTTTAAGGAACTGGCTCATGCAATTGTAGGGGGAAGGCAAGTCCAAAATCCACAGGGCAGGCCAGCAGGCTGGGAATTCAGGCAGGAGTTGATGGTGCAGATTTGAATCAGAATTTCTTCTTTTCCAGGAAACCTCATATGTGCTCTTGAGGAGTTCCACCAGATGGGAGAGGCCCGCTCACATTTCCAAGGGTAATCTCCTTTACTAAAAATGAACTGACTCTTACCAATGGGTAGCAATTGGTGCCAACAAGGTTTTAAGTAACAACCAGCTACTTATTCTTACTTAAAACCTTAGCCACATCTACAAAATACTGTGACAGCAACACCTAAATTAGTGTTTGACCAAATAACTGAGCACTCTAGCCTAAGCCAAGTTGATACATAATTTTCCATCACACCTGGAAAATTAATAGAATATGAATGTACAATAAAGTTATGCATGTAAAAGTCATTTTCTATCTTCCAAAAAGATGTGCTTTATCAAAATGAGATAATAAACCAAGAAAGAGGAAGCCATAGGATCCAGAAAACAGGAGATCCAACCCAAGAGGGAGGTGAAGGGAATGCCCAGGATGATGGTAAAGGGAGATCAATCCCAAGAGTCAACTGTGGACAAGGCCTAGAGAACAGCCCAGAATAAAGCAGGTCAGAGGCTCTTGCCATAACTTCAAGAAGATGACAATACCCAAGATAAACACACAATAAGGGAAGAAAATTTAAACTCTAAATATCCTAGATTTGATCTTGGAAGAGAAAAAAAAGGACATTAGCAGAAAAACTGTTGAAATCTGGTATAGCATTTAGGAAGAATGGTATACAAAGGTTAATCTCTTAGTTTTGAGAAATATACTGCACTTATGTAAAATGTTAGCATTAAGAGAAACTGGGTGAAAAGTATACAGGAACTCTTCTATCTTTGCAAATTTTCTGTGAATCTAAAATCATACCCCATAGTTTATTAAAATTGAAAAATGGGGGAAAGATTTAAATAGACATTTCATCAAAGAAGTATATGGGTGAGAAATAACCACAAGAGAAGATGCTCAACAGTATCAGTCATTAGAGAAATGCAAATTAGAACCAACGTGAGATACTGCTACACTCCTATTAAAATGGCTAATTTTTTTTAACTGACAACACCAAGTCTTCATGAAAATGTAAAGCAGTTGGAACTCTCATACCTTGCTGATGGGATGCAAAATTATACAGCCACTCTGAAATAATTTGCCAGTTTCTTTTTTCTGTTTTAAATATGAAGGGTGTTGGGAGGGGAATTCAATTTCCTTTTTTTTTTTATGAGACAGAGTCTGACTCTGTCTCCCTGGGTAGAGTGCAGTGGTGTCATCTTAGCTCACAGCAACCTCAAACTCCTGGGCTCAAGTGATACTCTTGCCTCAGCCTCCAGACTAGCTAGGACTACAGGTGTGTGTTACGATGCCCACCCAATTTTTCTAGTTTTAGTGGAGATAGGATCTCACTCTTGCTCAGGCTGATCTCACACTCCTGAGCTCAAGAGATCCTCCCACTTCAGCTTCCCAGAGTGCAAGGGTCACAGGTGTGAGCCACCACGCTGGGCCTAATTTGGCAGTCTCTTATAAAGTTAAACTTATCATATGACCCAGGAATTCCACCCCTGGAATTGAAAATTGAAAACTTACATTCACCCAAAAGAAAATTGAAAACTTACACTCACCCAAAAGTTTATACATGAATGCTTCCAGCAGCTTTATTGATAATCACCAAAAACAGAGTGAGACTCTGTCTCAAAAAAAAAAAAAAAAAAAGAGTATATTATTTCATTTTCAAATATTGGGGATTTTTCAAGAATTTTCCTTTTGTTGATTTCTTATTTAATTCTACTGTGATCAGAGAACATACTCTGAACAATTTAAGATATTCTATGTTTATTTGGACTTGCTTTATGGCCCAGAATATGTTCCATCTTGGCAGATGTTCCATGTGTGCCTGAGGAGAAGGTGTATTCTGCTGTTGTTGGGCAGAGTGGTCTATCAATGTCTCTAGGTCATGTTGACTGATAGTGTTGTTCAAGTCTTCTATACTCTTATTGACTTTCTTGTACTTAGTCTATCAATATTAAAAACAAACCATAGAAGTTTATGAGAAGACAAATGTGTCAGCGACGGCCCTCCACCGCTCCTCAGGCCACTGTGTCAGCCCACGACACCCACGTGGAGAGGAAGGTCAGCATGCCCTCAGCCACGGCGGGGTGAGTTCTGAGCTGCCCTCCCTAGCTGATTCAGTACAATAGATTCTGTTCTACTTCACAAACATGTCACCAAAGACACATCCATTCCTCCTTTCTTCTCTTCCTCTTGCCCCTTAAGCATGACGGTCAGTTCTGCCAATCCTGTATGGTACTGAAGACCCACCCTGGCTACAGCACCTCTAGCTGTTGCATGTAAACACAACGCCCTTTCCCCCAGCCCTGCAGGCTGGAACCAAATACAATGGACAGGAATTCCTGATTACTTGACTCCAAGTAGGTTTCTACTGTCACTGTGAATTATTGCCACTCAGTTCAGTAGATGTTACTCAAGCAAGTGTCTACCGTGTGCAAGGCCTGATTCTGAGTTTATGGTTTAATCTTGGGACAATAATTGGGTATTAACTGTATATTCAGAGAGGGGAAGAGGAGGAAGGGGAAAGACTGCTGTTGATGGCCAGAGGAGCCCAGTTTCCACAAAATGAAACCCACATTCCCTCACCAAGAACACAGCAGAGGGATCGATTGCCGCTCTGTGCTTTGGGTCAAGGCAATTCTCCAGCAGATGGGAATTCTAAGTCTCTCCCATAATCTCAGGGATCCCCTCTTCATTTTTATCACAGTAGATCAGCTAAAATTCTGCCCATTTCTGACTTACCTCTAGATTATTCAGCGGGAATTGGTACACAAATTGGTACACAATTACTGCCAAGCCGTCCCATTAGTCCCATGCCCGGGAAATGGGACAATTTGTTTACAAGCAGACTGTGCCGTTCCATGACAAGTTCTTGCAGCATTAGTCTCTGAAGTTCAATTAGGAAAGCACAGGGGCCTAGAGTGATGCTAGGCTGCATCCTATAAATGACTCCATGCTTTGTTTACAGATCAGAACATCAAGTATTTAGCTGTCCCAGAACCAGCAACAGAATAATTACACTCGTTATTTCTCTCCATGTTCCATTCTGCTTTTCTTTATGACCTGAAGGGATCAGGGGAGTCCTTAGCATGCCAAGGGAAATAGGGATCCCTTTGCATTCAGATAAACCCTTTCATTTGAACAGAAAAGATTAGAGTAGCAGGGTACAAAGTGTCCACAATGTCCTGCTTGGAGCTTGCCTATGGGGCCAAATGAAGAGGTGAGTGGTTCTCCCCCCCCCTACTTCCCATACACCCAGTGGAAAGCAATCAAGGTAATTTTCCCCCAAAATTGCTCCCTGGTAGTCACACCAGCTGATTCTCTTCTTTACTATTTGCATAGCAGTTCCCAAATGGCTAATCCTATAAGAAGGCTTGGATCATTCAATTCCAACTTCCTCTGTATCTGCAAAATGTTCTATGGGAGAAAAGAAAAACACAAATTCCTCCATAATTCAAACAAGAAAAAAGCTGCAGGCCGGGCGCAGTGGCTCACGCCTGTAATCCTAGCACTCTGGGAGGCCGAGGCGGGCGGATTGCTCAAGGTCGGGAGTTCGAAACCAGCCTGAGTGAGACCCGTCTCTACTATAAATAGAAAGAAATTAATTGGCCAACTAATATATATACAAAAAATTAGCCGGGCATGGTGGTGCATGCCTGTAGTCCCAGCTACTCGGGAGGCTGAGGCAGGAGGATCGCTTGAGCCCAGGAGTTTGAGGTTGCTGTGAGCTAGGCTGACGCCCCGGCACTCACTCTAGCCTGGGCAACAAAAGTGAGACTCTGTCAAAAAAAAAAAAAAAAAAAGAAAAAGAAAAAAACTGCAAATCTCTATCTCCCTGGGAATTATGTATGTAATGCGCTTACTTAATGTAAGTATTAACTTAATGTAATGTAATGCGCTTATTTAAAAATTGACATAGTCTCTGTTATATGAAAGATGAAAAAAATACATTATGGGAGTCAGGAAGTTTAGAGGATGATGAAAGAGTTTAATCTCAGTAATTTATAATGTACTACATTTCTTGACAAAAAGTTTGGTGACCACAGGAATGGAAAAACAAACACCACATGTACTCACCATTAAATTGGAACTGATTGATCAACACTTATGTGCACATATGGAAATATCATTCATTGGAAATCAAGCAGGTGTGAGGGGGAGGAAGGGATGGGTCAATTCACACCTCATGGGTACAGTGTACACTATCTGGGGGATGGGCACACTTATAACTTTGACTCAAATGGTACAAAAGTAATTTATGTAACCAAAACATTTGTACCCCTGTAATATTCTGAAAAAAAATTTTTTTTGGTGATCATCTATCCATTGGTACCACTGATTTTGCTATAATATTTATAGAAACGGGTTGACACACATGATAATAAGCATTGTAACATTGGGATAGATACAGAAAGGAAGCAGTTCTGGAAATAGGCCTGCCTTGTCTACCTAAAAATATTTCTTCTGATACATAAGAAACTGTTAACGGCAATTGCCTATAGGGAACATCACTGGGTATTTAGAGAAGTGTGGATTAGAGAAGGGAAATTTTTACTTTTCACTTATAAACTTCTGAACTGTTCAAATTAATTTTGACAATGAATTACTTTGCTTATTAAAATAGAAACAAAACTGGGTCTCATGGCATGCACCTATAGTCCCAGGTACTCAGGAGGCTGAGGCAGGAGGATCACTTGAGGCCAAGAGTGTGAGGCTGCAGTGAGCTATGATCAAGCCACCACATGCCAGCCTGGGCAACAGAGTAAGACTCCACCTCTAAACAAAAGAAAATAAATTGAAGAAATATATGATTAGAATTTTAAAATCAAACAAAATAAAATAGAAATGAGGTACAGCATTGTTTTTTGACAAATGGGTTTATTTATATATTATGTGCAATTTATATGATGTTTAAATCAGTAAAATGTAGACAATATTTATAAAATTATTTTCCCCATATTTAGGACGTTCTCCCTCTTTCCTCTGTAATAGCACTCTGTTTTACCTTTGAGGGGTTACTCCTATCCCATTCCATCTGATTCTGTTGGGCTCCCAATCAGGACCCATCCACCTGAGTCAAAGTCACGGGTGGGCCCATGGCCCAAGATAGGCCAATAAGTTTATCACTCTTGGAGATTTGAGTCATGAGCAGAGACACACGGGGACCATAGGCATTTGTGAATGACTCATCCAAAGATAGCATCTTAAAAGGCTGTCCATGTGTTCTGCAGCTGTTGGCCAATGAGTTGCCTTGGTTCCTGTCAAGCCCTGGTTTTTCAGTTCCCCCTTTATGTGTTCCTCCAGTCAATTTTTTTTTTTTCTTTTTAAGCAAAGCAAACAGCAAAAGTGACAGATTTATTGAGAACAATAATGAGTTCGGGACTGATCACATTGAGTCCACGATTCCTATAAGACATTCAAGGGAAGATGTCTAATAAGCCAGTGTCAATTTCAGTCTGGAACTCAGTAAGAGATAAGAATTGGCAGCACAGATTTTAAAGGTATGAGAGTGCTAGAGAGACGACAGAGTCAGGGACAGGCCTGTGGAAATGCCACCATGTGAGGGTCGGGAAGGAATATCAGGCACTGCCATTGCCCACCATGGTTGTGGCTGGTGAAGACTGTCATACTCGGTCCTTCTAAGACCTTGAAGATAATTTCTTGTGCATACATACATAAGAAATGGACATTGTCACATGGTTACAATGTGACTGCACATATATGATGCCTAGTCATTATTGTGTGACATACAGTGGTGTGACATACAGTTGTGTGACATATGTCAACTGTGACATACAGTTGTGTGACATATCCAGGTGGCTGCATAAGAAATTGCACCTAGAACAAGAAGATAGTATGGACGATGAAAGGAGATTTTGCACCCACATAAAATAAAACAACATATGAGTTCCTTGGTACCTTTTCTGCCATCACCATAGCAACCCACATTTCATGCTGAGTTGGGGCCCTCAAGAAAAACAGAACAGGAGAGCACTTGATGTTTTCCTGTGGCGGTCCCACCCAGGCACTTGACATCTGGTGACACAACACACTTGCTGATCAACACCAGAAAAGGCCCCAGGTAGAACGGAGCTTTCGCAACATCCTCCTGCCAAAATATGCCCATAAATCAAACGTCACAAACTGATGTTCATCAAGCCCAGTGACTCTTAACCTTAAGAATCAGCGTCAGCAGAACAATTAACAATTGCAAAGATGCGGAAACAACCCAAGTGCCCTTCAATACTTGAGTGAATTAATAAAATGTGGTATATGTATGCCAGGGAGTACTATTCAGCTATAAGAAACAGCGATGATCTCTAGCACCTCTTGTATTTCCCTGGATAGAGCTGGAGCCCATTCTACTAAGTGAAACATCCCAAGAATGGAAAAATAAGCACCACGTGTACTCACCAGCAAATTGGTTTCACTGATCAACACCTAAGTGGACACATAGAAATAACATTTATCAGGTGTCGGGCAGATGGGAGGGGGGAGGGGATGAGTATATACATACATAATGAGTGCAATGCGCACCATCTGGGGGATGGACACGCTTGAAGCTCTGACCTGGGGGTGGGGGGAGGGGGGGCAAGGGCAACCTAAACATTTGTACCCCCAAAACATGCTGAAATACAAAAAAAAAAGGGATTAGTGTCCCTTGGAATCACCTGGGACACTGGAAAATGCTGATGACTAGGCCTGCCTCTAGAGACTGACTGAACTGGCAGGTATACGACTTGGCCAACAGGACTTTTAAAATCTCCCCAGGTAGGCTGGGCATGGTGGCTCACACCTGTAATCCTAGCACTCTAGGATTACGGAGTGTTAGCACTCTGAGCCGAGGCGGGAGGATTGCTCAAGGTCAGGAGTTCGAAACCAGCCTGAGCAAGAGCGAGACCCCCATCTCTACTAAAAATAGAAAGACATTAATTGGCCAACTAAAAATATATAGAAAAAATTATTGGAGCATGGTGGCGCATGCCTGTAGTTCCAGCTACTCGGGAGGCTGAGACAGGAGGATCGCCTGAGCCCAGAAGTTTGAGGTTGCTGTGAGCTAGGCTGACACCACGGCCCTCTAGCCTAGGCAAGAGTGAGACTCTGTCTTAAAACAAAATAAAATCTCCCCAGGTGATTCTAATGTGCAGCCAAGGTTTAGAACCACTGAATGAGCCCATGAACTCGGTTTGTTTGACCTGATTATAGGGGCCT